ATATGAGCTCACAAAGCTTTGTGAGAGCATACATTCACCTGCATGAAAAGTCATGGTCAGCCAATCTGGGACCACATCTCATCTGTATGATTCAAAAGTGCTAATCTTTCATATTCAAACATTGAAAGTCTTCTACTGAATTACAGATTATTGCAAAGACTTCCTAATGTGCAGAACTTTAATCTTGCAAGGGGTGAAAAGCCCGAATGTTTAGAGATCTGTTGTGTACCTGATGGTGCAAATGACTGCAAAGAGGTCAGAAAAAGTTCTGAACATCCCCTCTTTAGACTGTCAAAGCCGAGGTCTGGAAGTCCATGTTGAAGATATCATTTTAGGAGCTTGAAGATATAAGTGAAATAACAATGTTACATTGGGGTAAAGGCTTTAAAAGCCCTCACATTTACCATAGAGAATGGTATGACAGGCATACTAAACTTTGCAAAAGTGTTGATTTAGTTGTTGAAAATGCTCTATGTTCATGAAGCGTTTTGAAGATTCAGTGTTTTGAAAGCATTCAGTTCATTTGTTAAAGCGTTCAAGCAGGCAGCCTAATGCTGTGCATCTCTCCTGATGCTCTTAAATTGCTGACTGTATAGGAGCTGTGTCAGTCACTCCAGCCATACAGTAATGGAGATTATTCAGCTCTAGTTATGTGGAATGGGTTGCTGAGTACGGGTTCAGTCTCTTCCCTACAGTACATGGCTTTGCTGCATTGGCACCTTTTGAGTTAATCATTCTCTCTCAGTGGAGGGCTCTGATGGCCTCTTGTAGCGTGGCTGATTTTCACTTGTTTGAGACAATCTGGTACTGTTTGGTCTTTCACTCTCACGTGACTCATCCAGCTGCCAGTAACAGCGTTCCATTTCTCAGTGTTGTCGTGGTAGATTTTGGACATCACATCCAAACAAAACCAAGAATGGCAAATTAATTTTTTTTTTAATAAAATGAAGTAATTAAAGAGAAGAAACAGTAAGAAGAAAAAAAAAAAGTCAAATGACCTAGTTTGGTCTTCGCCACAAACCCCAAAATGCTCTGGGGATATCGAAGTATGTTAGGCAAATACTTCAAATCTATCTCTATTTCGAACATGAGTCATTTCAATTCTGCATCATTTCAGTTATTTGTTCATTGGCCTTAATGAGGTAAACTCCAAAGCACTGCAACATGTGTTTATTGTTGAATAATTGCCCTTCTGGGAAGTTCTTGCTGTTACCTTCTTAGCCTTAATAGCTAATTTTATCAGCGAGAGTGAAGCCGTCCTGGATGGTAAACAAGATGTTCTCCAGGGATGAAAGAGAGCTGCTGCCCTTTAGTAGGGTTGTTTTAAATGCTGATCTCATTGTTACACAGACAGGTTTCCCTTTGTGTGAGGGAGATGTTCTGTTTTCCTCTGGGAGAATTCACCCCTAGCAAGACACATAGGGCTGACTCTGCAGATCCTGACCAGTGTGAGGTGTGTAGCCTCACTGCAGTCAATGGGACCAATACTCACATGTCTTAATCTGGCATAAATCAAGAAAAGTCTCCCCCAAAGTCAGTTGCCCCAGAATAAAAGAAGCAAGATATCCAAAACTTAACCAACGTGATTACTCATACGGAAGGAATTGCCTCATTGCAGCCTTTGCACACTACTGTATCAACTCTTCCGTTCCCTCCACGAACACTTAAATGTAAAGGTATAAATCAAAACTGCAGGACAGAAAAAGAGAAAGACAAAAGTTACCTTGATGGATTCTGCTTCCAAGCGATCCTTCTGGAAACCACTCTGCTTTTATTAGATTTACTCTCTGTAAATTAGGATTAGTTTTTTATATGGATTTATGAAATAGCTATGGTTGTACTGAAAGCAGGGTGAACCCTCTGGTATAAGGCAGGGAGCATGTGCTCTTTTCATCTGTTATTGGTGAGTTACAGTATGTAAGTTAAAGGCCCCTTGATGCCAGTGAAAGAAGAGCTCAAGTTCCAGACATGGAAAATGCTTAAATCTTGTGTATGCCAGCCAGTGATATTAATATTCTATAAACCAGCTAGTTTTCAAAAGGCCAGATTCTGTTCTCAGTTACACTGGTGTAAACCAGACTATTCTCCTTCTCTTCAGAGGCAACGAATTTGCTTTCACGTGTGCTTGAACGTGGACTCTGGTTGTCTGTGTTCAGAGGCAACCTCTCGATTCTTACTTTACTTGCTGTGGGGCTGGTGCTGTTCCTTGCCTGTCATTGTTCCAACTCCCATGTGGTGGGCACATTTCAGAGGGCTCTGAGGCAAGTGTGACTTCGCTCAAGGCACTATTGTGCGAGAAACTTCTAGTCTTGTTAATAACTCTGTAAGGTGCTTTGTGAAGGCAAATGTACAGTGGATTGGCTGAAAGACATAGTTTCAGAGATACAGCATGAGTGTTCTGTTCCTTTGCAGGGGGAAAATGTATTCTCTGATTTGACAGCTGTAAGAGAAGATAATAAGTTTTGACAGCACAGGGATAATGTTCATGTTATTCTAGGAAATCTCCATCCTCACATAAATAGGTATTGGTGTGTGCTACAGTTGGTGTTGCTGAACTTTGGTGGAGGCTTCAAGTTTCACTGTTTGGATAATATGATAAAATTGATAAAATGAATATCTAGAAAGCTCTAATGAATTTCAGACTTGTATTTTTTGGGGGAATGAATTTGAGAAAGAAAGTGTTTTTATTACAAATCCAGTATAAGTCTTAAACATTTAAAAAGAATCTGTAGTATTTTGGAGGGAAGATACATCTTGAATATATTCCACTGCCGGTGGAAAGGGAGAGGAACTGTGAACTGGGTATTTTCAATATGACTGATCTACCAACTTCTGTTAGTGTATGCACTTTAAAAGTGTATAGAACTTATTTCACCAGTGTTCAACACTGTATTTAGATACCCTTTAAATGCTTCATTTATTTACCCATATTAACAGCCAGGAGCCTGATTATACAGTCTTGTAAAGGTAGATATCAGCCTTGAAGTGAGTTAAATTATGATGGGATGAAGCCAAAATAGGAATGGGATAAAGCCTGATGGAGCTGTGGACTCCAGAGGATATCATGATAACTTGTGTCATGATTACAACCGGGGCAGTGCTAATTGTCACAAACATCCCCTTAGGAGCTGAAAGGCATCCAGAGTGATCTTCTGAAATGCTTTGGTCCGAAGTGGCTGCCCTGTGCAGGCTAGAGGATGCTCCATGTCTGTACAGTTTCTTCATGTCTTTAGTCATTCAGAACGATCACACAGTATCGGTGAATTCAGGCCTCTGAATATACTCCTGAAATAATTAGAACATATGTATTGATTACCAGGACAAAGGCTAACAGCCCATTTTGTATAGTTAAATACAAACTCGTGTATTATTCCTAAAAATCTTAACATGAGCTTTTTGTCCATATAAAATGATGCTGGCCAACACTTCCTGAGGGTTGCCTTGCCATAGTGATGGAGCTGGGCGGGAAAATCCCAGTATTGTTTTTTTTTTTCCAATTTTAAGTATTCTCACTTCTTAAAAAAAATAGAAATCAGATAAAGAAATGGTCAACAAATGTAATGTATCAGCCAAAGGCTGAAAATGTTTCACTGCAAACAGGGAACTCTGTTCTGGAAATGTCACAATAATGCCTCATGAAACTTGTAATTTGGGTGTCACATGTACCCTCTCTTTTCTGTGGGTCTGGATGCTTGCCTGCACTGCATCTTCATCTGCCATAGGGCTTTCCTATCACAATGGTGCTGCGGAGCATGATGGGGAGTCTGTGGAGCCCAGCCAGTGGAGGAGAATGGACTTTTGTGCTGTGATCCCTTTCACAAATTCTCCAGTTACCAGAGACTTTTTTTGCCTTCCCCAGTCACCTGTTTCTTCTCATTTATACTCACCAAAAACCTGAACGTGATTCTCATCTCTTTCAAAGCATTCATTGACTGTCATTATAGAGGACCACAGCAACCCAGGCTCTCCCACTTGCCTTTGCTATAAGATTAAAATCATTTAGGTTGGAAAAGACCAAGTCCAGAAGCATTAGCGGCTGCCCATAAGAGAAAAAGGGGGTTCATGTATGTTAAGGGCTGTGTTGAAGATGTGGTATTTTAAAAGCACAATTCATATACAGTGGTGAAAATGATGGGAAATGGCTATTGTGACTTTTAGCTAGCCTCTGAAGGCTACATTTCTTACAACTGCTTTAATATATGCTTATCTATGAGTATTTGACTGGGTCACTAGAGGTAAAGAACCCAACTAATATGGTTTAGGTTAAATGGAATTGCTGGTGTTTGACCCATGCGATCTAAACTCTCAGTTTCTGCTTTGTCCTCTCTTTTTAGCTAGATTGCCATTTGTGGTTCTAGATGTATTTCTGAAGAGTATTGCTATAGCTCTACTCTGTTTTACCAACTCTGTTAAAATGTAATATTCACCAGGGACAAATATGTTATTATTATTATTAGCATTAACATTGATAATAATAGCTTGCTTGGAAAATACAGTTAAATGTATACATTGAAACTAAATGAATTACAGTTTTTCACACTGTTGACCTGACAGTAAAGTAGAAACATGCCCATCTAAAGTCATAATGATAATTGTCTGCAAAGAAAAACTTGACTTACGTCACTGTTTTCAGAGGGTGCCTCTCCCTGAAAATAAAGGGAGTCTGAAACATCGCTCTTCAAAATCTAACACAGGCAAGACTCCACCATAAAAATAAACAGAAGGAAATGAAGCTATCAGGCTAAGGGGTTTTTGAGTTACATTATGAAGTGTAAAATAGCCACAAAACTTAAAATGAGAAATAAACAACCATACTTGAGAGATCCACATTCCTTTGCAATTCATTTTTGCTTCCTTGTGAAACCTTTCATTTCCACTGCCGTGTCATTTACAAGAATTTTGCAAGGAGATCCGAACCGAGCATGCAAAGCAGTAGTCAGGGTGGAGGGTTCTCAGTCAAAGCCTTATGATTATTAATTTCTTTTGGGGTTTTTTGACAGTGAACGGTGGCTACAATCATTGTAACTTGATCTCCGAGAAGAAGAACATGATGGACATGGAGATGACAAGTAGCTCGGTACCTGTCTGCAGACAAGGTCTATTCATCCACACAGGGAACTCTCTGATGCGAGACCACCCACTGTCCTGTGAGAGACTGCTTCATGTTGGTCAGCTGAACTTGACACACTCCGATATAAGGTACCACCGCAAGTTTTATTGGTTGATATACTTTTGCTCTTCTGGAGTGCTTCTGTGTTGGAACTATTTCTCAATACCCTCCACGGGTGCTGCATTTGGAGGGGTATTTTTGGCTTTTGCTTCAATTTGAAAGTACTTTGAATGCTTCTTTAACCACACTGCTCATCTGCAGGTTTGCACTGCAGGGACATGCACGTGTGCACAGAAAGTGTCCAAGGCGGTGCCAGGAGGAGTCACTGTATGTGCAGCTGCAGCCCCTTGAATTGAAGATTAAACACAGCTGCTCTCTGGGGGCTCTTCCAGCATGCTCAAAAGTCAACGAGAGTTCTGCTAGGGGCTTAAGCAGGGTCAGACTTGCCTCCTCTGTACCTCCACCCCGATGCCATGTTTCTAAATTGCAGCCTGGAAGGCAGGGATGATACTTACTCCCAAACCAATGTCTCCCATATGACAATTTGGCATGTCACCATCAAACCTACAGGAAGCCAATGCCACTACAGCGTTTCCTTTAATGAAGTATTTTCAATGTTCCCATACAGCCACATCCTTGGTATTTGCTTTTAAGGCCGTAATGTGAAAATTTGGTCTCTGGTTTTGATATACACACTGTAGCTGGATATGCTATGAACAGAATCTCTATTTAAACATTTGCTATAAATTAATTATATGAAAACACAGAACGCCATTATTTTTTTGTTGTTGTTACAAATTTAACTTTACCAGATTTTAAACAAGTACCCTAAACAGACATCCATTGTGAATAGAAGCCTGCTACAAATTAAAATCTGTCCATCTATTTTAATTGCACTGCTTTTTGGCAGGCAATATAATACGGAATAATCCTGACCTTTTTGAAGAGCTGTAGAAAAGAAAAACCTCAGTAAAGTTGCAGCCTTTATCTTAGATACTTGGAATAATTGGCACTCTGTGCATGGAACTATCAAGCCCAAATTTCCATAGTCATAGCAAGAGGAAACATGGCCTACAGCTTAGTCTTGGACTGTTTCTGATTTTATTATACATATTTATGTCTTGTTTTCCCTTTTCCATTTACTGGTGGGGTAAGAACATCTGTGTTTTCAGTAGGAGGAGGCACAGGAATATGGCAAGCAAGTGGAAAGAGCTGTTTGTTTGTTTGTTTGAAAAGGACAAATAATATCCATGCCACATAACAAAAATACCCTGCAGTTGCTACAAGGATTTGTAGATGCCTTTGCATCTGGATGTAAGTCTGCTCCCTCTTAGCTTCTTTCTGGCTCACTGTGGGACTAGCAGTTACCAACCTTCTTTTATTCTATCAGTTTATGAAACAAAGATAATTAGGGCAGGAGCAAACAAAAAGGATGAAGAGAATACTCTGCTTAGATCTTTATGAACCTTTTTGTAAAATCTATAATGAAGAAATGACAGATAGCTGCATACCAGGCATCGCAGTACCCACCTCAGAAATATGAACCTATTCCAGCTCCCATTTGCAAGAGGATTCCCAGAACGACATAAAGGATTGTCTGCTGCATAACATGAGAAACTAGCAGGTGACAGGCCTGATTCCCTCCCCTTTGCTTTGTAGCATCATCTAAAGCCTTGAGGCTCTGTTGTTTCTAAGCAACAGTTTGAAAATGTTTGGAGGTGATCTTGGAGGACCTTCTGTTCCTTTATGGGTTATTTGTGTGTCCCACTAGTCATGCTCTGCTTGTCTGTCCACCTCACTAATACTGCTTTTGTCTGCATGGGGTTTGCAAGGTAAAGCTAATGCCCAGCTTTGGTCTATGGAACTCATAGACACAGTGTCTAATTTCATCATTATACTACTCATGAGACACCGAGCCAAAACCTTGTCTCTTGTGAGAGAGGACGGACAGCAGTTGGGATGATTTCTGTTCATGGTGTTTGTGATGCTAAAGGTTCTTGACAAGCAAGTAACAGAAAACATGGTCTTTCCCTGAAGATCTGAAAACAGGAGAGCATAACTGAGGTGGGGGTGAATGCCCATCAGGTTCCAGTGAAGTCAGTGGGTGCTCTGTGCCTCCCCAGATTTCAGTAGAAAATAGAAGAGAGAAATAGGGCTGGAATAGAGAGAGATATTGGAGCACACAGAAGTCAGGGCAAGCTCTGGTTGTTCTGTCCAACTCTAGTAACCAGCACAGAAATAAAGGAAGATGCAAATTCAAATGATCTCTCTGGGTTGATCTTTGAACCACTCTGCGTTTCTAGGGTATGGAACACCCAAGGAAAACCCAACAAACCAGAGAGCACCTCCCCTAGCAATCAAAAATCTCCCTTAGGATTTGGGGTTATGATTGGCTTTGTCCTTCCTTCCCTCAGTGAGCTGAAATTTGTTATCCCCTTCAGCTTCTTCCTCAATCACATTCTCTCAGTAACTGTATTCTAGGGATGACTGCCTTAATCCAAGAATCACAATCCGCCTTCTTCCCAGCCCCTTTTTCCCACTCAGTTAATAGCTTTTAAGTTGTGCAACATAATTGCTGCGACATGCTATCTGTGTGTGGGACTGGAAAAGTCCTCATACCTTCCTCACCACAACTGGAGTCAGCACACAGCTCATGTTGGCCTTTTGTCAAATAATCCATTATCAGTCACGGCAAGCCCGCCACTATGTGCTCACTGCTCGGCATCTAAAACTGGGGAGACATCAGAGCAGTCAGATAGTGTTGCAGAGGGATGCGCAGCAGAACAATCCGCTCCAGCTTCTTAAACCTGTCAGTTATCACTGATTGCACATTTACAGTGGCAGTTGAAGGCATGCATGTTTTGTAAATAATATGGAGATTTCAGATACAGTCGTCTTTTCCTCTGAGGGCAGTTGGGAACTGCAGTACTTCTGGCATGGTGCTACTGGCCTCGTGCTCTGGCTCCAATTACCACATAAGGGAGTCTCTTTGGAAACACTGCTGTAGTATCCTCTGAGAGGCTGCTGTTACTCTTCAAAAGCCTCACACTCAGCTTTCATGTGCTTAAGCAGCAGTTGTGTTGCCTCAGATTGTCCATCTCTGGTACGTGGATGCTCCCTATGAAGAGGGGTGTGTTCTCCTGCTGACTCCACTCCTTTCCAGGGCTGCTCGTTTGGAAGCTTCCCAGAGCTGCTCATGCTGCGTGTCCACACAGTGCTCTTTACACTCTCCTGCACTCATTTGTCCCTTTTGCTCTCCTCTTGGCTGTTTGTTTCATATGCATTTATATCTGGCTACTGTCCAGAGATTGTGAAATCCATACAGCCGGCACTGCCTGTGTGTACCAGGCCCGGAATCTGATCCCTGGCTCCAGCAGCAAGATGCCATTACAAGAGCAAATAGCCAGTGGGTAGAAGAGGAGTCGCCCAGTGAGTTGGATGCCAGATGGTTTGTTTCTCTCTCACATCAGTTTTATTTCCGTGCCCCTTCTCCCCTCACCCTGCCCAGGACTGGGAGATTCAAGCAGGGCTTTCCCTGGATCAGTGAGGGCAAAATTCTGCCATGAACACCGGGAGTTTGTATTAACTGTATTACCTTGACATTAAGTACCCCAACACTCAAGCACTGGGACAGTGAAAGAAGGCCAGATTCTGTCAGCAGTGTTAACTAACATAGGATATATAATATATCTACATGTAGAGGACCACAGAGAAAACTGCAGCTCCCAGGAGGGGCTTGCTTCTGATCTGCAGAAGCAGCCTGTGCTTATCATTATGTAGGCAGAATATGGGTAAGACATGGCTGTGGCAGTGGGAAGCGTGAATTCAGCAGCTTCCTCTCATTTGCTCTATTCCAGCTTGTCTTTCGATTCAAAACTCCCCTTTCATGTGTCTCACATTCTGCACTGCAACATCAGAGCAATATAGTCCTGAGTCCGAGTAAGATCTTGTGCTGGATGGAAATGCAGATCAATGTTCCTGGGACTTTGGGGAATGTAATATTCCTCAGGACAAGGATGTTTGCATCCATCCTGCAGGTTCTCTGCGCAGACTTCAGCTTGAACTCCTCACATGGACTTCTGGCAAGATAGGAGCTTTACATAAAGCCTAATAATATGACACCAATTATCACAGGCTGAAATGTAAAGCGTGGGTTAGCTTTATATGATGGAAGAAATGTGTTGTGTTTACTTTAGCCTGAGGCTTTGGGGCTGCTAAAATATGATACAAACTGAATTATTTCACAGAGTTCTTGTACAGAAGAAATTAAGTAGTAGGAAATAGTGTGGTGTGCTGTAAAACCTTTCTCAGAATAGGTTTAAAGCAGCACACTTTACACTGGGGGTTGGAACTGGATGATCTTTAGGTCCTTTCCAACCGTAACTATTCTATGATTCTACACAGCAATGAAGCTACAAGCAAGCAGGGCAGGGTTTCCCAAACATGTGCAAGAAAAGGTTTTTATGTATGCTTATGGCCCATATTTTAGAGACACATGGTTCTGTAAATGTTAAAAAATAATGTATGAATATGTATGGGGTTTGTTTTCTTTTTTTTTAATTTGCCATCTGCAGAACCAGGTGCTTTAAGTTTACCCTGAGACCAAAATTAAAGGGAGGAATTGCAACTAATGGTTTATGGAAGCCTCTCTTTAAATTTCTGGTGGCAAATGCAAGATCTGATTGCTCTATAGCAATGGGTGGTGGGGAATTTCACTTCTTTCATACCCTCAAAGGGTTATATCAAGCCCTACTGGCTGAGAACTGGTGGGGTTTAGTGGATCCACTATCACTAGTGGATGCAGCATTACCAGTTGTGTGCCTCACAGATGTAATTTTTTGACAACCTTAATTTCATGAGAAGGAAGTCTTTTTAAACCTTGCTGTTATTGTTTCATTCTTCCTAATCCATGGTTCTTTGAGAGCTATCACGGAGGAAGTGTTAGAAGTTGTCCCAGTTTCCCATCTTAATGTTAGTGGTGTAACAATGGAAATAATAGTGATAAAGTCATCAAAGTTGTAAAATAAATGCAGTTTCTTCGGCAGCTTTGCAGTTTAATGTATGTGTATATCCAAAATACCTTACGCATACGCGTTTCATGCTTTAAAATGTGTCAGATTTATCTCAGCTGTGGTGTCACACACAATTTGCCCAATAACCAGGTTTTCTTCAGCTTTCGTGGTGCTAGCATCAAGCATAAAATTCATTTAAGTGGAACATGTCGGTGTAAGAGCCATGGAGCACCTCTCTGGAGGGTTTATTAGTTCAGGTACAGCTTTCCTGCACACAAATGCACTGTTTCCTCTTCTCGGTCTGGCACATCGCTGCATGATGAAGCCATAGGTTAAACCTTCCCGTGCTTTAGGGATACGTAAGGAACACCTTCTGGTCCTCGATAAAAACACACAGTTTTGTCACCCCCAGTAAATGTCTATAGCTGAGATAAAATGTTTTATTTTAAGGCATAAGCCAGTTGCTAACTGTTTGAAAGAAAAATGTTAGGAGGAAACGTTTCCTTTCTGCAATGTCTATGTGGTATTCCCCAAGGTTCTCCTTCCTGAGTGATTGGATTCAGCACACATCCAAAAAGATTAAAAATCCCTTCTGAAGAACTATTTTCTTTTGATTTGTAGTCACATATAGACTTTAATATGAAAAATAGAAATGGGAATACACAGACTACCAGTTTAAATCTACAGGTTGTGAACTTTCCTTAGTTATGGTTTGTAGACCTCTTAGGAAGCAAAAGTATTTGCTTGATCTCTCAGCTACTCCAGACCACTGGTTGAAAATGAGCTATTCTTTATACATATTCCTTTTTTCCTTGCTGATCTTGCTCCTTTTTTCATTTAGTGAAGGAAAGCATCTCTCTGAGATGTAAGCAAAGCTCAGCTTGCTTTTCTTGATTCTTGTGAACAAGAATGCCAGGGCATTTCCCCAGTGTGCTCTGAGGAAAATGCTGATATTTGAATAATTCAAAAATGCCCAAAGCTCTGAAACTTCGTTCTCAGCTATTGTTTTGCCCAGTCTATTATGCATTGAAAACCTAGATTGTGATTGATGAACTGCCTGTAGCAGTGGAGGGGAGATTGTCTGTTCTGTGCGTAACCCAGTGTGTAAAATTAATCCTGTGTAAAACGATGCTGCCTTTACAAGGGTTGTAGAGGAAACATTGCAGATGTTTTGGGTGTAATTGCTGCATCAAACTGGCAACATTCAACAGAGAGCAAGTGCTTCTATTCTGCAGGGTTTAACAAGTGTTGTGTCTCATAGAAAAATCATAAAGCCTGTAGTAGTTAGTGATACTTAATGAAAACTGTATTACAGGTCACCCAGGTTTCAAGACTCAGTTGATTCTGCTGCTCCATGCCTGAATGGAAGTCACCCAGCTCAGCACATTAAACAAGAATGCCCGAGTGATTATAAGGTTCTGTCTGAGGCTTCCACACATAGGAGGATTACGGAGGGGATGGAGCTAAGAGCCTCTGGTAGTCTGCATCCTGAAATAGACCTAATGAATAATAGCTTTACAAATTCACTTTCATCCTACTTGTTTAATAATGAACATAGCTCCTCCCTGGGTCCTTTGTCACTTGGCACCCCTCAGCACTCAGCCAGGCTACAAACAAGCAACCTGAAGAAGAGATGCATCTCTGTTGTGCCGTCTTCATCTGAAGGAATTGATATTACAGCTATCATCCGCACATCACAGACGTCACTGGTCACCTGTGTGAATGGACTGCGAACTAATTCAGCTGGCATTTCCTCTCAGCCTGTGGAGATCAGTCATCACAGTGCTCAGAAATCCTCTCGACCCCAGTCTTGCTCTCAGCCTGGAAACCCTTGCAGTATTCCCTCCCCTCCAGCATGTCTTGTACCTATTTCTGCTGAATGTGACAGAGGTGACTGTGAGCAGATACAAATGCAGCAAGTCGAGGAGAATGGAAGCCTCAGCCTCCTGATGAACGGTACTAGCGTCCCTCATCAAAACACCTTGCACGGCGCCCAGAAGGTGAGTTTCTTAAAACAAGAACCAGCTGATGATTATTCCTCCGCTGCTGATCTTTTTCGACATCACCAGGGGCTGCCTCCTCCTTACCATCTACACCAGCAGCTAAGCCAGGCTCAAGGGACACTGCCTCACTTACACGCCTCTATGTCTCCAAAGTCCCTGCAGCCCAGCGATGGGGACGAACAGGAGCTCAGCAATGGCAAACAGGTCTGTCAGTGGATTGACTGCAGTGCCACTTACGACCAACAAGATGAACTGGTCAGACACATAGAAAAGACTCACATTGACCAGCGGAAAGGAGAGGACTTCACTTGCTTTTGGGCAGGCTGTGTCCGCCGCTATAAACCCTTCAATGCTCGATACAAACTGCTGATTCATATGAGGGTTCATTCTGGAGAAAAACCAAACAAGTGCATGGTAAGCCTGGAATATATTTGTTTGAATAGAAACATACTGCTCTGCTCTCTTTCTTGCTCTCTCTTCAGTCTTATTCCAATGTAATCGTTGTGTTTTCCTGTAACTTTGTTTGCAGCAGGCTAAAGGGGAATTGGAGAAAACCATAATCTAGAAGGAAATGTCTGAGTAAGAAATACTGTAGTTCTTGGAAGGGGGATTCAGTTTCCTTATAGGAGAGCTTAACTTTCAATACAGTGCTTTATTTTTTAAATATTCATTAAAGCATTAATAAAGTGATGATCAAAGCACACAGCAGTCACTTAATGTAAAACAAAGTCACTGAGCCTCGGGTGACATTTTTAATCAAGAAACATAAAACACATCTAATGAAATTCTTCTCATTCCTTCAGCTGAACAATAACCCATAGACTTGTGAGTGCTGGAGTTTCAAATGGTACTTTAGAAAAGAAAAAGAAACTTGTTAAAGGATTTTAAACAGTTAAAGAATAAAAGAATATCTTTAATTACATTTTCAAAGGTTTTTTAGGGGCTTTTTTCATTTGCAAACCAGAGCTTTAAAAATAAGTAAAAACCATTGTTCTCTTCTGATCAAGAAGATGTAAACAACATCAGTGTTCCAAAAAGAGGATCTTGGGAATAACACCATCTCTGCATCTGCCCACCATGATGACAATATGGCCAAACTAAAATAAAAGTTAATGACTTCCATTAAGCTTTCCACATGTTTGAAACAACAATGATATAAGACCCTGACTGAAACCGATGAAGCAAAACAAGTTTGACATAAGCTTCCAAATTGGGCCATGAAATTTGGCAAGTCTTGTTTGTAACACCAACACGTGTGCATGAGCACACACACACACACACAGACGTACAGACAAAGGGAATGGTTATAGCAGCAGGTTGTGGTTCTCGATAGATGGACTTTTTGACTATATATCTATTTTATTGTTTTGATCAGAGAAGGATATAATGGAAAATGTTTGTAAGGCAAGGCAGATTTTTCCATGACAAGCTGGAGTGTTCTATGGAGGAATAGGAAAGAATGTCTATATAAAAATCTTGGGGTTTTTTGTCATTTGTTCAAGAAAAAGCTTGCTGGCCTGCAATGGTTATGGAAGGGAGAAGGAAGAAGATGACAGTATTCAGAATGTGTTACAGAGAATAATTTTCTCGGGAAGTGGTCTTCCTTGTGATCTTCTTACTTCCACTGGATAAATGAAAAATGCTAACTTAATGCCTGCGCTGTTCAGTGGGTATTCCCTAAAGTAAGGCTGCAAACATTGCAGATAGAGAACGCAATCAAGTTGTCCAAGATAAAATGGAATTACTGTAAGACTTACCTGTTTCTTTTTCCTTTGAGAGAAAGGAACTGACTTGCTCGTTTCCAGAAGTAGCTCAATCACAATTTGTCAACGTACAAAGGAATTTAACTTCCTATTTAAATCTTTTATTTGGTCAGAAATCATCAAAGGATAATGCAAGTTACTTCCTGCCTTCCAAACAAAAGTATAGGTAAGCAAGCCGTGAAAGCACACTTATGGATTCTATTTTAGCCTATTTGTTGTTTTTAGTGTTTTTATCATCTGGAATGAGATCAGGCTTCTTCCCACTTATATCTCATAGTTTTAAAAAGAAATACTTAAACCATGAAACCCTGATTAGCTTTACTACAATGCTGAAAGATTCAGTAGATTCCATGGGTGAAGGAACTTTTGTCTTTTTCTGCAAAATGGATATTTGACGGGTATTACAATAGCAGGTTTCTAATGTTACATTCCCATTCCTACAGGAAACTGGATAAACCAGTGATGTTAAATCATGTAATGTCTTAGCAAATGCTAAAAGTTTCCTACTTTCAGTTATTTTCAGCTGCACTAAAGAACTGGCTTTTGATAACATCTCAAGGTTTAACATTGTGAATAGGTTGGAATAACCTTTGCATCTGATATTGCAGACAGCCTTCATGGCACATATCTTACAGCCTTGGCATGTAAGTACATAAAGATCTGTTTTATTTGAGCAGATATTGCAGTTGTTCCCATACATGGAATGCCTCAATCAGAACTAGGAACTTTACATTGCACAACTTGCAGTTAACTCCTCTATTCCCAGAATAAGCCTTTCACTGTCAGTAGAGGTATCCGTGTATTAAATGTTACAACCTGGAATCTTGTGTGGAGTAAAGCTGGATCACAAGTGACCACATGAGAAACATGTCGCCTTTGCAGATTTAGTTTTCTACTCTGGAAAGACCTTGATCTAACAGGGGCAAGATCCAAAGCTGCAACAGGGCTCCGTGAAGTTATTAATATCAAGTGGGGATTATTTGCCCAGCAAATTCCATTCCACTCTAAACCAGGGTTGCTGTGCAGTGTTTCATTGTGTAGTGATGTCATGTCATTTTAAATGATGGCTTTTCTTTTGATGTGGTAATAATTGTGCTGTTATTCCTGCAAATTATGAAGGCGATTCATTCTCTGTCTATAGAGGTCTGAGATTTTGTTTCGTTTTTGCTGTAGCTCTGTTAAAGTAACTTTACATCTCTTGGTATTTGTAGTGGAGATTTTCTTTCGCTGTTCACAATTACCCATTGTACTTTCTTTTTAAGCCCTTAGTTTTGTTCCTCTCTGTAAGATTACTGCCTGACTAGGTATTGAACTGCTCAGAAGCTAACAGTGAGCAGCACCCCACCCTTGTACATACAAGTGCTTTTCCATGTAAAATTATTAATTTCTTATGACAGGCTTTGCTACTATGTACTGTAATAGACAAAGGAATTTTGGAATTCAAGCTACTTGAGAACAGGAAATACAAGAGACATTTTGATTGAAAAGTAAATGGTTCACTAAAACTGCAGTTAATCCTTTTATTATCTTTCCAACAGCAGTTTCCACAATACTTTCATGAGGTAAGCTTCCTCCACTCCAACTGTAACACTCTCATCATTACAGCTGGTTTAAATTTAGCTAGCCTGCTTCTTTCTGTACGACAGACACTCGACAAGCAAAACAGTATCTGGTGGAGAGAACTACTGATGTTTTGGGTCCATATTCTGCTCACTGTGTTGTGTTGCCAAAGCCGGTGCTATGAGTATTCTGGTTTCATCCTCTCTTAAATATTCTAATTGAGCAGTGACTTCTCGTCATTGTGTCTCTCAGTTTGGTTTTTCCTTGGGCTCTGCAAGTAGTCTAAAGGAAACTGCCTAATCTCTTTGCAATATCCTGTTATGTTTCATACTTAACTCATGTTATTTTAGTTTTATTAAATTTGAGGTTCATCTGCATTATAATCAAAAATATATCCAACAAAAATAATGATGCAATGCCTGTAAGACTTAACTTCTGAAGATTAATTTCATGCTTTTTTAGATTTGATGTCCCAGACAACTGGAATTTTGATTGTCTGAGACAGCAAAAATTAGCAAGCTTAAATGGTTTTTAATATATAAAAAAAGAAAGTTGTTTCTCATAGCTGCATCTTCTAGTGTCTTTCAGTTCTTCCAATACTTCGGTGGGTAGAACCCTGCTGATCTCCAGATATTACATCCTCAGTTTAAGCCTCTGCTTGCAAATGTAAATATAGAGCTGCTCCTTTAGTTGACTAGAATTGTTTGATTTGGACAAATCCATACTTGGCTTATTAGTTTACCCTCTTGCACTCTTGTGGCTTCATAAAGAGTAGAAAATTAAGTTCCCATCACTGCATGTGTATGTGCTCAGGGAACTTACATTGCAGGCCTCCACAGAGATGATCAAGGTAGATATCTTTATCCTATGTGATTTCCACAATATACAATTTGTGTTTATAGAAATTGGGTAGCATAATGCATGTGATACCCATGAAAGGAGCCGGACAGTGCTAATAGTTTATGTTAATGTCTTTAGTTCATGTATTTCAAAGAAATAAATGCTTCTTGAGTATGTTCTGGACCTGTCTGTCACATCATGTCCTTGCCTAGATAGTTAAGACTTTAAAGCAGAATCGTCTTTTCTTGCATACATGCAACATATTCACTTTGGGAATAGCCTTGATGCAATGATTTGATTGCTGTATTGCACACAGTGAAATTCAGCACCTCTGCTGTTTGTAGTCAGTTCTTTTGAATCCCTAAGGGTGAGACACTGTAGGTCCTGCATTAAACATGGGGAAATTGAGACATAGAGAAGATAAGTAACTTGCCTAAAGGCAGCTTTATGCAATTCTAGCATTTCAGTGCAGATCTTGTGTTCAAATCAGTACATCACACAAACGGACCATTTGCAATTTACCTATGAAACAGATTTTTGTACAGATTATGCAAAAGGTAGCAGCCTGGCTAAGCTTCCTGTTATTTTTACTGTACACCTATGACACAGGTGATTTGCCATGTTATAAACCTGTAAAAAAATTCATCAGAAGGCTTGGCTATATTTGTAATGCTTATTACAATTACAGGAGAAAGGGGCCTATAGAGCAGATCAGTAGTATTGCTTTTGCTACTAAGGAAACCAATGTGGAATCTTTGTTCTCAGTCGATAGCAAGTATTATGCTGTCTGCGGTCAGTGGGGAGCATGAGTTTAGCAATGCATGGTGAGTAATGAGATCTCTACAGGCTACATCTACAGATGAGTCTAAGGACAATCCTGCATCTGCAGGGAAAATAGGTCTGCATGCACCAGCTTATATGCTTTTGAATTACTTCACCTAAACAATAAGTTTCCATGCCTGACTCGAGGGAATGTTGTGGAAGTCTGGAAAGTATTTTCAGCTTTTGGGGTGGAGGGTGTCATGCACTGGTGCCAAAGGAGTGCTTTAAAAACCCAGTAATAATATTAGGCTCACTTTCTTTCCTTTGAAGTTAAGTAGGAAACATCCATGCTATCAAAGCTGCCTCACCAGAGATCTCTCTTTTTATTAGGTCTCTGATGGCGTTTCCCGATACTGTCAAGGAATTGCAGCATTAAAACCACTTTGAGTAGAGAAGTAGACAGCAGTTCAGTGGTTTTGTGAAAATACA